CGCCAGCGCCCTGGCCCCCACCCGGGCCTCCGAGGAGCCGCCGCGTCGCCGGGCCCGCGGGGCAGGTGAGTGAGGCCGCCCGCCGCGGCTCCTCAAACCGTGCCCGCGCCTGTCGGTGCCCCCGGAGTGTGCACCCCAGAGCCCACCCCTCCGTCAGTGCCCCCCTCAGTGCCCACCCCCTTAGTGTCCGCCCCCCCTCAGTGTCCGCCCCCCACCAGAGTCCACCCCCCGCAGTGCCCACTCCCCCTCAGTGTCCACCTCCCCAGTGCCCACTCCCCCTCAGTGTCCAACCCCCACGAGTGTCCAGCCCCCACCAGTGTCCACTCCCCCATCAGTGTCCACCCCCACGAGTGTCTGCCCCCCCAGCGTCCACTCCCCGTGCCCACTGCCCCTCAGTGTCCAACCCCCACGAGTGTCCACCCCCACCAGTGTCCACTCCCCCGTCAGTGCCCACCACCCACGAGTGTCCTCCCCCTATCAGTGTCCACCCCCTTCAGTGTCTGCCCCCACCGGTGCCCAGCACCCAGCACCACCAGCCACCAGTGTCCACCCCTGCTCAGTGTCTGCCCGCTGTCAGTGCCCCCACCCGTCAGTGCCCGCCCCCTCAGTGTCCACCCTTTCTCAGTGCCCACCCCTTCAGTGCCCACCCCCCCACCAGCGTCCACCCACCTCTGTGTCCACCCCCCACCAGTGTCCACCCCACTCAGTGTCCACCCCCACCAATGTCCACCCCTCACCAGTGTCCACCCCCCCTGTGTCCACCCCTCACCAGTGTCCACACCCCCTCTGTGTCCACCCCCCACCAGTGTCCACCCCATCAGTGCCCAGCCTGTCAGTGCCCCCTTCCCCTCAGTGTCCATCCCCTGTCAGTGTCCATGCCATCAGCGCCCCCCCGTCAGTGTCCACCCCGTCACCGCTCTGCCTTGTCAGCGCCCCCCCATCCGTGTCCACCCCGTCAGTGCCCTCCCGTCCGTGTCCACCCCATCAGCGCTCTGCCCCGTCAGTGCCCCCCGTTAGTGTCCACGCCGTCAGCACCCGCCCATCCCTGTCCACCCCGTCAGTGCCCACCCGTCCGTGTCCACCCCGTCAGTGCCCCCCGTCCGTGTCCGCCCCCTCAGTGCCCCCTGTCAGTGTCCGCCCCGTCAGTGCCCCCCTGTCAGTGTCTGCCCCGTCATTGTCCCCCCATCAGTGTCCGCCCCATCAGTGCCCTCTCGTCCGTGTCCACCCTCTCAGTACTCTCCCCGTCAGTGTCCACCCCGTCATCGTCCGCCCCGTCAGTGCCCCCTCGTCCGTGTCCACCCCCTCAGTGCCCCCTTGTCAGTGTCTGCCCCGTCAGTGCCCCCCTGTCAGTGTCCGCCCCGTCAGTGTCCGCCCTGTCAGTGCCCCCCCGTCCGTGTCCACCCCCTCAGTACCCTCCCCCGTTAGTGTCCGCCCCCTCAGTGCCCCCCATCAGCGTCCACCCCATCAGTGCCCTCCTCCTCAGTGTCCCACGTGTTAGTGCTGCCCCCGTGTCCCCCCAAGGCAGTGTCCGCCCCATCAGTGTCCACCCCATCAGTGTCCCACGTGTTAGTACTGCCCCCGTGTCCCCCAAGGTAGTGTCCACCTCCTCCCCCACCTCCTCCCAGTCAAGTGTTTCCCACATTAGTGACCCCCTAAGTGCCGTCCTTCCTATCAGTGTCACATGTGTCAGTGCCCCTCCTCCCTGTCCAGTCCTCTCTCCTCTCTCTCAGTAACCCTCACTCTCAGTGCCCTCCCTGTTAATGTCCCTCCTCCCCCCTGTGCTGCCAGGTCCCCATGTCGTTGGCCACCCTGTCTGTCCACCCATCGGTTCCCCCCCCTTGCCCGTCGAGGTCCCCCATCAGTCCTCCCTAGCCTGTCAGTGTCACCATCCTCCTCCTCGCTGCCTCCTCCCTCACCCCTGTCTGTTAGGGGCCCTGCCCGTCAGTGCTCTGACCCACCGGTCAGTGCTGCTGGCTCCTGCCGGTGGGGTGTAGGACACTCCCTCCGCAGGGCCTCCTGCCATCACTCCCTTGTCCACTCACTGACTGCTGTTCCTATCCCCATTCTGTCACCTTCCCCTGTGCACCTTCTTGGCCCCTTTGAATGCCCCCCACCTGTCGCTGTGACGTCTTCCGCACACCCCCACCTGCCACCTTTGTGTCCTTGCAGCCTAACTACCTGCCTTGTCCACCCACTTGTTACTGACCACTACCATTTGCCACAGATCCCCTATCCTCTCACCACCAGCTCACCCAGTCTGTCACTTGTGCTTAGTTCCTGCCTCTCACCGCACCCCCCCCCATTTTGTCACTGTACCCACCTGCCTTGTCCTTGTGGCCTTTTCTAGCCTGTTACTCTCACCTTGCCAGTCACTTCCCCCATGGCTTCTCCCTGCCACGCCCTTGGCCTTTTAGTGCCTGGACCATCACTGACACTCTCAGCCTTTCACCTCTTCTCCATGTCCCTTCCTTTCTGATTTCTCTTCCCTTTTGGTTCTTCTTTTTTTTTTAAAGATTTTATTTATTCAGTTTTTTCCCCCCAAAGCCCCAGTAGATAGTTGTATGTCATAGGTTCACATACCCTTTTGGTTCTTCTAACTCTCATGTTAGCTGAGCTCTGGAGGGCAAGAAGCAGCTAGCTATGAGAAGAATGAGGAGTCAGAGCCTTCCAGGCTGAGGGGACAGCACATGCAAAGGCCCTGAGGTGGAGCTCCTCCAGGAACCTAGATGAGACTGATATGTGGCCAGGGTAATGGGGAGATAGACTAGAGCCCGGGTTAGAGCACTGGCCTCCAAACATGCTGTTCCTTGCAGGTTGGGAGGGGACCTGGGCTGGAGATTGACTTGGGGAGTGCCATCATCATAGGAACATGGGACATGCATAAGAGGGGGAGCGATAAGGCGTTGGGAGTGGGTGTAGTTGTTATGGTTTAGACCGTAGTGGTCGACTTAGGGAGCTATTTTGGGGGTAAAGCTGTTGGGACTTGCTGGTAGATTAGAAGAGGGGTATGAGGGAAAGAGAGGACTCAGGGTAATTTCTGGGCTTCTTGATGGAACAAATGGGTGGACTGTGGCCCTGTTTACTGAGATGGGGCAGCTGGGTGGGGTGGTGGTAGGTGCAGGGGGTTATTACAGATTGGAGGTGGAAAGCAAGGCTTTCTCTTCGATGAAAGTAGTGGAAGAAGTCTGTCAGGTCCCAGGGTTGGCGAGAAGATATCTCGCAGAAGCATTTGGAGCCCAGAGGAGAGGTTAGGTGCAGGCATATGGTCTCAGCACGGGGAGGGGATAATGTTGACAACCTTGGGAACAGCTGTTTACACACACGCACAGCAGCATATATGGATCGTTTATCATGTGCTGCTGTTAAAGGCTTTTATGAATTATTCCATGTAATCTTCACGAGAACCCGAGGGTACAGGAACTGTTATTTCCCAGTGCTACAGAGGAAGAAACTGAGGTATACAACAAATGGGTGATAAAGCCGGATTTGTATCCCAAGGAGGCTTACTAAAGCCTCTTCTCTCCTTGTTTTTTTTTTTTTTCTCTGGTTAGGGAAAAGGCTAACTTTTAAAATACTGTTTTAAATTTTTGAATAATAATGATAGCTGATTATGTACCAGGCACTTTTGAGTGCATGCACATATGTATTCCAATAAAGCTTTATTGAGAAAAACAAGCCCAGGCACTTTTTTTTTTTGTGAGGCAGATCAGCCCTGAGCTAACATCCATGCTAATCTTTTGGTGAGGAAGACTGGCTCTGAGCTAACATCTATTGCCAATCCTCCTCCTTTTTTTTTTTTCTTTTTTTCCCCGAAAGCCCCAGTAGATAGTTGTATGTCATAGTTGCACATCCTTCTAGTTGCTGTATGTGGGACTCAGCCTCAGCATGGCTGGACGAGCGGTGTGTAGGTGCGCGCCCAGGATCCGAACCTGGGCCACCAGTAGTAGAGCACACACACTTAAGCGCTAAGCCACGGGGCTGGCCCCCAGGCACTTTTTAAAGTGCATTGCCTATACCATCTCCTTTAATCTTTTTTTTTCTAAATGGCCCTTTAAATTTTGTACTTCCTTTTCTTTTCTTTTTTTTTTTTTCTTTGCAGGGAAAGATTTGCCCCAAGCTAACGTCTGTTGCCAGTCTTCCTCTTTTTTTTTTCTTCCCCAAAGCCCCAGTGCATGGTTGTATATCCTCGTTGTAAGTCCTTCTAGTTCTTCTATGTGAGCTGCTGCTACAGCATGGCAACTGACAGATGGGTTGTGTGATTCCGAGACCAATCGAGTGAACCCCGGGCCGCTGAAGCAGCCGAACTTCAACTACTAGGCCAGCACGGCTGGCTCAAGTCCTTGTTTTTCCCCAACAAAGTGCTTTGCCTTTTATTATCCTTGTATCTGTGAGAGAGAACAGGCATTTTGACATAAAGTGAGTATGTGGCTGGTGAAGAATTTACTATAAACCAGAGAGTGAAAGCCAGTGCTAAATTTTACAGTTTGATGTCTCACCCAGTAATCATTTAATTCTTAAGACAACTTGATGAGGTAGTTACTCTTAATATTCCTGTTAATATTCATTTGAGAACACTGAGGCACAAACAAATTAAGTTACGTACCCAAGGTCACAGTAAGTAGATGGGAGAGTTGGATGGTCAGGCTCCAGAGCTTGTGCTTTTCACTGTCGCCTCCTGTGGGTGGCTCATGCACGTGGGAATCTGAACTCAGAATGACTTCAGAGGGTACCAAAGTGTGGATTGTGAAGGCGGTCTCATTCTCACCCTGTCCCTCAGCCGTCCTCTTTCTCTTGGAAGTCATGTCATATCCATATACTGCAAGCAGCCCTCTTCTTTTTAACACAGAATGTACAATGTTTTATTTCTTTAAAAATATTCCACTTCAAAATTTAAAATTATTTAAAATGTAAAATTAAGAATTTAAATTTAAAATTACTGAAGAGTATTTTACACTCAATGAAATGTACGGATCTTAAGTATATGTTTGATGAATTTTAACAAAGATGTACACCTATGTGTCCGTCACTGATGTTAATATATAGAACATTTTTATTACCCCTGAAA